GGGTGCACTCCAAACTTGTAGGCAGGGCTTGGCTCTGATGACTTGACAGCGGCTGGAGGAGCTGCTTCCAAGATGGCTCATTTACGTGGTCCTCCCCAAAAATCACTCACGTGTCCTCACAACAACGGCAGCCAATTTCCCCAACGAGAAGTGATCCAATGGAGAGCAAGAAGGAATTTGCAGGGCCTTGTATGACTCATTCACCGAAGTCATGTACCCAGACTGCCATTTTATTTTATTTGTTAGAAGTCAGTCACTAAGTTCAGCCCACACTGAAGGGGAGGAGAATTAGGCTTCGCCTCTTGAAGGGAAAAGTATCAATGAATTTGAGGTATATGTTTGCAAAACCACCACACTTCTACAGAACCATAATGCGACCTTCAAAATCAGATATGTTACTATCACCTAAACCTCGGATGCCATAGAAATTTCTCTACTTGACCCAATAATGCCCTTTATAGCAGTAGGATCCAGGCGAGAATCATGTACTGTATTTATAGTATTAATAGTTGTTGGTTCTTTTAAGTATCCTTCGATCTGGAACGGTTCTTCTTTCCTTGATGTTCAAGGAAATGTTGATGTTCCTTGACAGTTTTGAGAATTATGGGCCAGTTATTTCATAGAATATCCTTCAGTGTGAATTTGTTGATGGTTCCTCCTGATTAGATTCAGGTTATACATCTTTGACAGGAATATCACAGACGTGCTACTATGTTCTTCTTGTTGCATCCTGTCTGATGGTACCTGATTTCAATTTGTCCCATTATTGATGGTGTTTCACTTTGATCATTTGACTGAGGTGGTGTCTGCCAGGCTTCTCCACTGTAAAGTTACTCATATTCCCTTTGTAATTCCTGCTACCTTTCTAGTCTCATCTCCTATCACTCTTTCTCTATTCTCTAGACCTGCATTGTCCAACTGCTAGCCACCTGTGACTACTAAGGATCTGAAATGTGACTCAAAGGTTTTCCTTTGAAATGTCTTTTATGTTATATAAATTGTATGATCCTTTCCTTAGAATATGTGTCTACTATAATGTAGAATTTCTCTTTCAGATTTAAATGAAGGCACGTTTTGGAGATAAAATTTTAATTTTTCAAAATCATTTATTTCTACTATATTCTATTACTTAATTTTATTCTTCAGTATACAGAAGTTTGTTTTTTGTGTAATCTATCCATTCTGATTTACTAACCTTATTTGTTGCAATTAGAATTACCTTTATTTCCTCATGTTTTAAAATGACCAAACTATTTATAAATCAGTTTGTCTAGCTTAACGGAAAACATTCCCTTCAGAAATGCAGACTTTATCTATATTTAACACCATCGCAAATGTTATTTTTCTTTTATTCAAGATTCCCAAATTATGTTCCTCTAATATTAAACTGCTTTATGTAAGAAATACAAATCAGCATAAAAATAATCACAATTTTAAATAAAATTGACAAGCACCTTCAGATTAAAAGTTAATGGAAAAATGGCTATTTTCAGAACATAATAAACCAAACTTATTTTCAAAGTAACACAAATGATCAAGCCAACAAACTGCTAAAAATACTACTAACACTGTGCTAAAGCCAACATTGAAAAATACCAACCTGTTCCATTCTTTTCATTTTTGGCTGCAGCACTTGTTCGCTTTGGGGTACGCTTTTGCTTTTTTGCCAATAATCCGCCATTTCCATCACTTGGCCTTTTCTGACCTGAAATAAGGGGAAAGAGAGAATTTGGAAAAAAAAAACCCAAAAACAAAAGCAGGTATATTTATTCACCTGTCTACTCTGCATTTATTCCCACATATGCATTTTTATTTTACAAAGACAAAAAAAAGAAAGTACTTTACAGATCATCAGTACCTAAAACTCTTAACATTAATTTTTGGTTTTAATATAAAGGCTAATTTTTTCCCTAGAAAATCCTTACCCTTCTCCCTGCTCTCTCGTTCTTGTATAATTATGCTACAGTTACCAGCGGCAACACTGGCTTCAAAGCCATTTGCTGATTCCCTCTCGCAGGGACCTTCTTGAGATTCTTCAGCAATACTGTCAACTTCAATCGTTATGTCACTCTCACTTTTTACACTTCGAGACTCATCTTGACTGAGAGTAAGTGGTGAAGCTACTGAAAAGTTATGCTGGACTACAGGAGGTAGGGCAGGTGGAACAGAAACAAGAGAGTTAGACTCAGAGCTTTCAACTACTACATCTTCAATACTGGTCTTATCCTTTTCATCCAAATCATCCAAATCAACTTCATGGCAAACTAAGGTTTCAGGCCCAATCAGAGGCATTGCATCCTCTTCTTCTTTTAGTGGAGTATTTACAGTTTCTTCAGCTGGACTATCAAATTTTTCACTGGTCAATTGTTGAATGCATTGGTTTGACTCTGCTACCAATGATGGCATTCCCTCATTTTCTGGTTCAAAGTGCTGTTCAAAATTTAAGATTTTTGTTCCCTCAGATCCAATACAATCACTGGTCCTTTCTTGAGATACACTATTTGTCATTTCCATTCCATTCTCAATTCTTATTTTTTTCTCTGGTGATGATTGTCCTAATATTTTCCGTTTCAATTTTTTTTCTTTTGTACATTGATCGATTTCATCTTCAGTAGCAGAAGAAAAGTTTTTATTGTCTAATGAAGAAAATTCAAGACTGTGAGCTTCCATATGAGGTTCACTTCCTGCTTCACTCTGGCTAAACGATGAAATCTTTATAATTTCTAAAGAAAGATCTTTTGTCTTGCTTCGTCTTCCCTTTCCTTTAGGAGATTTTTCTGCCTCTTTCCTAACTTCTTCTACTTGTTCCACTTTGTTTCCAAAAATCTGTACTATTTGTTCATTTTCTCCAACTTCTAACTTCAGGGTTTCTAAAGGCTGCATTTGAGTCCTATTGTTTTCTTTTAGCATATGTGCAGTAATCTTTGGATTTTCTTCATCTAGTTTATCATCACTTAAATTTTCATTTTTGTCTAGTTCTTCTTTAATATCAGGGGAAAGTTCTTCATTTATCAAATTCTTTTCTAAAGGGTCTTCAGTTTCACTATCAGATGAACAAGAGTCTGTAAGAGAAAACATTGTTATATTAATGCAGGTTTTTTATCTTAATTACTAATGTAATTTTATATTAAAAATCATACCAAAAGCCAACACAATCCTTAATCATGTACCTCTGAGTACCTCCCTGTAGAAATCTCTGGTACAAAATAAATCATAACATTTGTACCAAAAATTGGTGGGGGGATTTCAAATTAAATTCCATGTAAAAATACATTATTGGCATATTCCTGTCTCAAATCTATATAAAGAGCTATTTTGCAATATTCACTAGTATCATAGTTAGGCTAAAATAGACCTCAGGAAAATCAAAGGACTAGTACAGTACTGAGATATGCACTTAATATGTTAAGTGGTTTGAGATAAGGTCAGTCAGTCCTCATTAATACATATGAGGGCCATTTTGTGTCCTAAGGAATATGACATTCCACTTAAAATAACTGTGGAAAGAAGAGATGTTTAAAATAAGCAATATGAATTCCCAAAACTTTAAATATTCTTATTCTTATTAACAAGGAAATCACAGGTAAGCCATCTTCTAATAAAAGAAATTATTCACT